ATTTATGAAAGAACTTCTCATTAGATTAGAAGTGTGTACATAATACAAGTTGTGATGGAGCTTATTAAAACTTTAGTGAAAAACTAGTGATTTAAGAGTTAGTATGAGTGTATTCTAGTGTATTCTGCCAAAACTCTCCTAAGAACTTTCTGAATTACACATGAGCATGTCTTTGCTTTATGCTTCTATATAATCTCATTATATTTGCTCTACATAATCTGGTTTCTATGTTCTAAAAAGGTTATCAAACATCTCTCAAAATGAACACTAATAATCACCATGTTGCTGAATCCAATAATTTCCATAGCATCTTACTTAACATCTCAGTATGATTTAGAGTGATGAACTCTCTCTTTCTAGAAATCTTCTTGTCCTTAGTCTATGGCATATCACACTTGATTGCTTTTGCTCTTATTACTGTAGACTTTTCTCTCTTACTAAAAGCCCATCTTTTCTCCATAAATTCATGACGTCAGAGTTACTCAAGTATATTTGTTCCAGCAATCTTTTCTCTTTCACTCTATGTTATCAGTCTAGATGACATCCATTTCCATGGTTTCAATTGCCTATATATTTATATCTTTCAAGTGTATATATCCAATCTGACCTTCTCCCAAGCTCTAAACCCTATTTTCCATGTGTCTTTTTTAAAGGGTGCATTTGGACAGCTGAAAAATCTCTAAATAGTAGTAGATCAACAGAAACAAGTTATTCCCTGTCATTCCCAAACAGGATTCTCTCCCAGGAGTCATTATTTGAATAAATTGAAGCACAGTTCATTCAGTCAGAAACCTAAGTATCATATTTGATACATAGTTTAGCAACTGCAACTTATCCAGATCCACTCAATCATATGGATTATTTCACCTAAATACATTGAGTTATTTCTATCTCTACTGCCACCTCAAAATTATATCATCCAAAAATGTTCTCATCTTTCACTCAGACTATTAGAATAATATCATTTCCCAGTCCTTTCACCCAGAATTCAGTTTTAACTTTACTATACTGCAATCTGACTTTCCATGTAATTACCGAGAAAACTTCAATAACTTTCCATTACCTTCATGATAAAACCAGCATGCTTAAAATGGCCTACTAAGACCTTGCATAAACTGTCCCTTATATAATAAATAATAAATAATTATTGCTTACTAATAGTTATGAGCAAAATTATATCCAAACCCTGCTCTCAATAAGCTTGCTGATTAGAAAAGGAAAAATACAATCAATCGAATAATTTTACAATCAAATTTAAATTGGAACTATGACCAGTATTAAAAGGGCCATAGAGCTTTGTGAACCTGTGATAAAGGGATTTGATCTAGGCATAAAAATGAAGGAAGGCCAGATCAATGTCTAAAATGTTTGAGCAAAAATCTAAAGAAAGATTAAGAAATCACTAGGCGAGGGGGAGGAAAGAGGAAAACATCGATTGGTTGCCTCCCACACTTTCCCCGACCCAGCCAGGAATCGAATCCCGACCCTTCGGTGTGGATGCCAAAGTCCTAACCACTGAGAACAGGAGCCAGGGCGGTTAACCTTCATTTTGGAAGGGATGTTTCCTGAATATGAAAATCAAGGGTGACTTTTTAAATTCTAATAGTATTTTAAGGATGTTGCTCCACTGTCCTGTTTCTTATATTGTTTCCCACAGGAAATTACTGTAATCCTTACCTTATTTTTGTTCTCTGCATGTGACATGTCAATAGTTTTGAGCCATGTATGCTTTGCTATAGTTTTCTTCATGTTTCTTGTGCTTGGGATTAGTAGATCTTTAGTATGTGAATTTAAAATTTTCATAAATTCCAATCTTTGGTGACTACTACTTTTTTTTGGTTCTCTCCCCTTGCCTCTCCTTCAGGGACCCCATTTACAAGTACATTAGGCTGGTAGAAATTGTCCCAGAGCTCACTGCTGCTTTGTTCTTTTTGTTTTAATTTTCGGTGCCTCGTGTTAGTTTCTAAGGCTGTCTTTAATTTCATTTATCTTTTATTATACAATGTTTAATCTGCTATTAATACCATCTCATTTCATCTATTACATTGTAATTTTCATCTCTACAGTTTAAGTCTTTATTATATGTCTCATAACTCTGATGAAGTTTTTTAAGAGCTTTGCTGAGACCCATTTAAAGTGTAAACTGAATGGCTCTTTGTATAGAATTGTGCAACCTTCCCATAATCTTAGAACATTTTCATTCCCACATCAAATGAAACTCCACTTCTAATTGCAGCCCCTTCCCAAGTCTCCCCACAACCCTGTCAGCCCCCAGCTTTGGACAACCACGACTTTTGTTTCTCCAGATTTGCTTAATCCAGACATTTCATATAAATGGGATCATACAATATGCACTCTTTTGTAACTGTTTTTTTTACTTAGTATAATGTTTTTAAGATTCACCCATGTTTTAACATGTATCAGTAACTCATTCTCTTTTATTGATGAAAAATACTCTATTGAATGGACATAGATTTCGTTTTATCATTCACCAGTTGATGGGTATTTATTTGGGTTGTTTCTACTTTTTGGCCCTCAAAAAAAAAAAAATGCTGCCACGGACGTGTGTGTCCAAGTGTTTGTGTGCACATTTTCATTTCTCTTGGATATATACCTAGGAGTGGAACTGTGGCTCACATGGCAACTCTGTTTAACATTTTGAGAAACTGTTAAATTGTTTCCCCAAAGCAGATGCACCATTTTGCACGCCCACCAGCAACATGAGCATCCCAATTTCTCCACACTTTATTCTTTTTTCCCCCAGAATCAACACACAGCATTTATTTATTTTTTAAAATTTATTTTGTTAATCCTCACCTGTTGCTTTTTAGAGAGAGTGGGAGAGATGGAGAGAAATATTAATGTGAGACACATCGATTGGCTGCGCCGAGCCCACCGGCGGGGGATGGAATCTGCAACCTGCAACCTGCAACCTGGAACTGAGGTACCTGCCCTAGACCCAGAATCGAACCGGGACCCTTCCTGTGCAGGCCAGCGCTCTAACCACTGAGCAACATCAGCCAGGGCAACAACCGGCATTTATTAATACAAAAAACATTTTATCTGCCTACCATGAAAAAAATTGCTACGGACCATGTTCTTATAGTTTTAGGAAGCGGAGTCTCTGCACTGGATACTGTTTGCTGCCCTGCACCCCAGCTCAGCTTCTCCATCTGCACCTTGCTGGGGGGGCTGACCTTGCAAATGCATCCGCTGGCTCCTCTGTCCCCCAGCATTCAGTGCACCTTCATTCTTTTTAGTTCAGCTCTGCTTATCTTTTCGAACATATGAAACAGTTACGAAAGTGTTTCAAGGTCCTTGCCTGTTCATTCTAACAGCTATTTCTGTGCTGATCTGGAACAGATTTTTCTCATTATAGGTTCTCTTTTCTTCCTTTTTTGCCAGTTCGGTAACTTTTCATTGGGTGTCAGGCATCGTAAACTGTACCTTGTTTGATGGACATTTTTGCATTTCTACAAATATTATTGAACTTCGGCCCGTCGTATATTTAAGTGACTTGTTAAGCGTCTGATCCACTTGAGTCCCGCCGTCAAGACGTGTTAGGAGCCCGAGCAGCGACCGGCTCGGGGCTAATTATTCGCGACCTGTCCGTATGGACTGAGCTTCCCAGCCTGGCCGGTGGATGCGGTCACCCTGCCCGACCCTAAGTGATCCCCAGGAATATTTTAAATCCTTTTCGGGCAGTGTCCTCAGACACAGGGTGTTCAGCTCTCGGCCGAACACTTGAGAAAACTCTGCAGAAGTGAGTTCTGTCCTGGAGCAGCGCCCCCCTTTCTGCTGAGCACGCGACCTGCCGGGCTCCTCGGGTTCCAGCGCAGCCGCGACGGGGAC